TGGGTGGGGGGTGGGGTGAGGTGGTTGTTTGTATAATCAAACTGATAAATTACTGCAATTCAATGATAGCCTCATAACTGCTTTGCTAGCTTTCCCTTTGTATTTGCTTACCATGACCTTAACACAACTTGGAATTTGGGGTTAGGTTGGGTGGGGTTTCTATCTTTGTGTGATGACATTCTTTTAAGTGTGTCTGAATTTAGACTATTGGTTACACACCATTGATAATTGATATAATAATTGTTGGGATAAGCTTGTAAATATACCAGCAACTAATGTGTTTGCTTTGTGTGATGACATTCTTTTAAGCTTTGCTGCTTATTGTTTGCTGCAAAAATCATAATATAAAATTTGCTCAGTTTAGATTAGCTCATTGTTTGTCAACCGTATAAGGCATTAGTAAATTGATAAAGCCACCAACTCACCATTATGTACAACTGTTTCAATTTTCAACCCGAGATGTAGTATAACGCTTGTATTTTGTTGACCGTTATGCAAGTTAAGAAGGTTCAATTCTATGAGATTATTTTTGCGAAAAAGAACATATAGGCGGTGCAGTGAGTGGCACTTTCCACATAAAATTTCTGACTCTCCCTTTCTCATCCCTTGTTTCAACATTATCGATAAGAAATTAATATGCAGACTAGCAGAAAGCTGGATATAATTTCAAAGGGCTATGCAGAGAAACTGAATAATAAACAGAAACATGTTCATGTTCTCTGAGCAGCTAGGCATGTTCCTTACTGATTAAATGTAAGAAAATATACTCTTTTACACTTCAACTGTACATTGTGATATGCAGCTGGTTGAAAATTTCAACTTATTAGACAAGATATTGTAGAAGGTTTTAGTTCAAGATATACATCATTCCATGATTCAGCATTGGGGTTAAGCACCAGAAAAACCTACTTACTTAACCAAACTTACAGATTTTTATCAAAGTAAGCACTTGAAACGTATAGAAGCACACAGAACTTGGGATGTAAGAATGGTGGCTTAATGGTTGGAAACTTGTAATTTCTGGGACAACTGGTGTCTCAAGTGCAACTTGTTACCGTAAGTGACTAGGTAATTTAATGGTCTGTGCTACCGTTACGTGTGTGGTTTTGTTGACAGAGATGCTTAAGATAGTTGATGTTTCATGCTGGTTTTGTAATTATGTTTGTGATTCTTCTTATGCATTATTCTTAACTTTGCCATCATAGCTTGATAGTTTGAAAGTCTTGGTCCTTGTTAATAATATCAGATTGTTATAATGTTGTGTATAGTTTGTTGAGATGAATAAGTTGAATTAATAAAAGAAGAACGAAAACAGTTAAATTCTTGAGTATTCTTAGACCGGATTTTCTTGAAGGGTAATAACTTTATTTATCCTCTTTTGTAGGTGGAGTAGTTCAAGAAATAGACGATGAAGAACTAGACCTTACTTGAGATGAATTTTGAATTGTTATAGATGAATGTTCTAGGAATCTTTTGTTACCAACATTTTTGAAACTTATTTACTCTCTTGAAATGTACTAAACTTATGCACTCATGGGGTTGAACATTTGCTTTATGGATATTATTTGCTTGATGGATAATTATGTATTATTAATAGTTTCATTTTATGATGTATTTAAATTTTAGTGTTATTATAATTTATTATATGTATAAATATTTATATATAACAGGTGCTATATTTTGGTTTCAACTTAATTGATGCAATAGCCCACCAGAACCGTTGCAATAGGACACAAATAGCGTTCCAATAGACAATATAAACCGTTGCAATAGGTCCCATAAACTGTTCGAAATACAAATATAATTGTTACAATAGCCTAAAGAAATCGTTGTTATATCCAACATAACCGTAGAAATAGCTTACATAAGTGTTGCTTTAAATAATATGGTAACGGTTAAGAACCGTTGTATAAATAATATAGTAACGGTTTAAAACCATTACAATTGAAAAAAATAACTGTTCCAATAGAGAAAGGGAAAACCATTGCGATAGATGTATCTATTGTCACGGTGATGCAAACCGTTGCAAGAACCATTCCAGTAGACCTATGGGTACGCCGGCTGATGTGACAAGCTTTAAGTCGTTCCAATATCCTTATGGCAACGGTTTGGCAGTCTGTGGGAACGGTTTTTCAGCCGTTACCGTAGACCAATTTTTCAGTAGTGCACGTGGAAGTCAATTGAGCAATGAACCGACTAATATAATTCAACCTTCCTAACAGACTCATAACCTCTTTCTTGGTTCTCAGAGGAGGCAAATCCCGAATAGTCTTTATCTTTGTTGAATCTATCTCGATGCCCCTCCAACTGACTATAAACCCCAAAAGTTTCCCAGATGAAACTCCAAATGCACATTTAGCTGGATTTAACTTCAAGTCATACTTACGTAGATGCTCAAAGAAGTTTCTCAAATCCCGAACATGGTCGTCCTGTGTTCTTGATTTAATGATTACATCGTCCACATACACCTCGATTTCTTGGTGCATCATGTCATGAAAGATGACAGTCATAGCTCTTATGTAAGCTACCCCGATGTTCTTCAAACCAAAAGGCATGACCCTGTAACAGTAAGTGCCCCAAGGGGTGGTGAAAGCCGTCTTTTACGCATCTTCTTCATCTATCAAGACCTGATGATATCTAGCATAACAATCCACGAAAGACTGCATCTCATGTTTAGCATAGTTGTCAACAAGGATGTGGATGTTTGGCAAAGAGAAGTTGTCTTTGGGACTTGCTTTGTTCAAATCCCGATAATCAACACACACTTGGGTTTCCCATCTTTCTTTTGCACTGGGACCACATTAGCCAACCATGTGGCGTATCAGACCACTCAGATCACACCCGCTTTCAACTGTTTGGTGACTTCTTCTTTAATCTTGTCACTGATATCCGTTTTAAACTTTCTCTGCTTTTGTTGGACAGTGAGATAACCGGGGTAAGTTGGCAATTTATGTAGCACTAAATCAACACTCAGTCCTGGCATATCATCATAGGACCAGGCAAACACGTCTTTGAATTCAAACAAAAGTTAGATCATTTAAGTTTGAATGCTTATCATGGTTTCCTGGACCTCTTCTGAACTACCTAAATTAACTGGCTTAGTTTCATTTAAGTTTGGCTTAGGCTTATTCTCAAATTGTTCCAATTCTCGGTTTTTCCCTAAAAGCCTCATCTTCATCGTTGTGAGCACGTGATTTTTACCTGAATAATAATATTCCTACAAAGGTAACAAATGGATTTTCTCTTTTGAGTGTTTATTATTTTAGGAATTTATAATGATTGTTTGGTAATTGTTTGCATTAGTTACAATTTGGTGCATATTTAATATTTCAAAAATCATGAGAAATACCCTAAAATGTTCAAATTTCATACATTGCACTTTTAGGTTGATATTTGCATTTTTAAGTTTAAGTTGTTAGTTAATTGCATTAATAGAAAGAAAAATAAAAAATATTGGCCATTTTTACATTTTTAGTTTTTAGTCTCAAATTAGCAATTTCTTTGCATTAAGCTTTAAGTTAATTAATTATTTTTATGTTTTAAATAAATAATTAATATGGTTGTACAAATTAGATTTTAGTCTAGTATTTTTAATTAAATTTAGTAGTTAAAAAAATCAAGAAAAAGAGAAAAATAAATAAAAAAAGGGAGGAACTTTGAACAAAAACTCGAAATTGGGCCATGTAATGAGTGAGCCCAAATCTTTTAATACCCCTTCTTCACTTAAACTAGCCCATTTCCTTACTTAGCCCAAGAAAAAACTGGACTTGACCCAAATAACCCTCTGACCCGCCCCATTTCCCTACCTAAAATTATAACCTAGAACCCTAGACACACAAGGGATAGGATCCGCCGCTGACACAAAGGGGCTTCCCCCCTGAATTCATCTTCTTCAGCAATTCACAACAAAGAGACCCCCCCTGTACAGGAGGTCCCTCTTCTTACTAAGACTAAAGGAGCCGAAAAATACACCTAAAAAACAAACCTAAAGACCTACGAAAGACTAGTTGTTGTTCGCCGGAAACCAGAAGCGGCGACCACCCCCCCATCGATGTTTCTTCTTCTTCCCATTCTCAACACCAGTCACCAACAGTCCTAGTCGCTCTCTCATCACCGAACTCGCCGGAAAACCAGCAACCCCCATCAGATCGAGCACACACATTCGTAGATATTCGGAACAGAGAGAAAAAAGAAGAAAGAAAAACAATTGAGCAAAAAATCAGTACATTAAAAGTTGAAAAAAAGGAGGGGAATTGGTGTTTGAGTTAGAACAAAATATTCCTTCTATTTCATCCATTCAATATCCAATTTTGGTTTTCAAATGGAGTTTAGCTGAGGTTCAAGGTTTCAATTTTAGTCGCCGATTCGAGTTTCTGCCTGAGGTTGTTGTTGGAGGTGTTCGAGTTCGTCGCTGTCGAGATCCATAATCGTTGTTTCATTTCGTGTTATTGGGACTTGTTTGTTATTTCCTTCTTTTTCAAGCTCTGGTCGTTACCTCAAAGTGTATCTACTTCCAAACGGAATTAATTGAAAGTTTTCTTTTCACATTCGGGTTCATCTCTTTGCTCCTTATCTTATTATGGTGTTGATTGAAATATAATGATAGTTGAGATTCTGTTAGATTGGAAATGTTTAAGAGCTAGTTTATGTGGTATCCGTCTGTGATGCAATTTTTGTCGTGAATTCTGTTGTTTTCCATTGGTTTTGGCATATATTCTTGTTCGATTAGGTCGTGTGCTACTGATTCTTTCCTTGAGTTTTTCCTTATTTAAATTGTGTTGTTGAGTTGTTACTTATATTTGAAGTTGAATGGAATAGTAGATGGCCATTTGGGTTTGGTTTGTGCTCAAAGGGAGTTGACTGATTTAAAAATAGCCATTTTTGCGGCCTTGTATTTAGAAATTGATTAGTTTATCAAATTTAGACCTATGAGTATAAAGTTTGAAAGGTCTTGCTGTATTTTGTTGATCTTCTGAAGGATAAGTTTTATTCTATTGCTAAATCGTATATGGTAGTATTGAGGGTTGGTGATAATTGTGAAGATAAGTTAAAGAGATAACACATTAGTATTTGTGAAATTCGTTTGTGTTCGATTGTTATAGTTGAATACTTCCAGGTAGTACATTTGCTTGTAAACGTGATAATTCGGGCTATGTTTCAAGCAGTTGTTTGGATGCTGCCTTTCCGTTGACTCAGAAATTAGGTAGCAATATTAAACTATCAGTAGGTAAACATGCAGCTTATTCACCAATGATTCCATAATCAATGGACTCACAATAATGTCAAAATTAGTTTTAGGAAAATCATGAACATCGTAGCTTGCATTTAGGCATGTAGTAAAATCATTACAGCTACGGGTACAGTTTCCGTGGTGTAGTTATGATACTGAGTTTCAAGTTAGTTTTGAAATACGAATATCCGTAGTTCACTTAATTGAATGCTTTTCCTTTAATAAAATTGAGGTGTGTCATCCAATCAACTAGTTTATGACCCTCACATCGATATCTTAATTAGTGTAGAAAATGCCTTGAAATCTCATAGTTTGCTTTAGGCGCGTTAATTAAATAAATTGTCATAGTTATAGGTACGGTTCCTGTGATGTAGTTGTGATACATAATTTAAAACCAGGGGTAAATTTATGTGACCCGGCCACAATTTAGTCTTGTTAATAAAATAAATATATTGTGGATTGTGGGTACGATTTCCGTGACATGATCCACAACGTGTAATCGAATAATTAGTCGTATAACAATCGGATTATTAAAAGCGGTTTAAAAGGAATAAAAATGCACATAGGTTTCAAGAGTATTTTAAAATCAGATAAATAGGCCAATAATAATATTTGAGCGACCGTGCTAAAACCACGAAACCCGAGAATGCCTCACACCTTCTCCCAGATTAACAGAATTCCTTACCCGAATTTCTGTGTTTCGCAGACTGTAAAACAAAGTCAAACTTCCTCGATTCGGGATTTAAACCGGTGACTTGGGATACCATAAATTATCCCAAGTGGCAACTCTGAATTTTAAATAAAAATCTCGTTTCGATTGTCACTTAAATTGGAAAAAACTTCTTTATACCCTTTCGGGGTGGGAAAAGAAGGTGTGACAGGTCTGACGACTCTGCTGGGGATCATAACCTAGAACCTTTGGTTCATGGTTCAAGAATTCGAGCTTAGAATAACTGTTATAATTGGCTTTATTTATTATCTGATTTTATTTACATGTTTGGAACTAATGGGCTAAATATTGCTTTTTACCGCTTTGATATTATCTGAAATGTATATAAACTACTACGAAACCCCTCTCTTCTAATCTTCTGAGAAGTGCACGCTAGCGTGACTTCTTTGTGTTAGTGTCATACCCTAATTTAGAATGAGGTTCGGACAAGTTGCAAAGACGGATAATCTTTTGGTTACCGGTACGCTGCCCTCCCTCCTCCCCCCCCCGCTTGAGTTGTCCGCTCGGGTAAGCCAGGTCTAGAACAATACATCCAGGTTTTATATCTAGAATAACACAGCCTCATACCGGATCGCTAGTAGGAACGCTTGATTGCATCATATGCATTTGACTTTGGGGACTCAACACAAGGGTTGGGTCCGTCTAGG